GGGCAAGAGAAAAAAACCATTGGACAGAAGGTAAACAGTCGTCTGATATGATTGGTGATCACATTGTTGTCGTGTGGGATCGACGTGGGACTCCGGTAGCTTTAAGAGCCGTAGCTTGGGTCTCCTGACGAGCTGAGATGGAGAAACTACACATTCTCTTTGCTGCATTCGAGTCTGTCGGGTAAAGTAAAAAAAACTACTGCGGTCAACGGTAGATAATAGTATAAAAAGAACAAACCAATGTGATGTGTGACTTCTTAACTGCGGTACATAAAATAAAAAAAAATGTAAAATGCATACATCAAATAAAGCTCTGTAAATTGCACTCTGATGTGGCACTAGTCTCACGCCCCCGTCCCAACTTATCATTTGGAATATTTACATTCAGTAGTTCAGTCCAGGATGGAGCGAAGATAGAAAAAGTTCTTACAAAGCAGAACTAAATGAGATTTCATGTTCGATTACGGAGATGAACAGATACAAGCTCGTATCCGACGACTGTCTCAGTCTTGCTCGTATCAGAACAGCTGCAAGTTCATCAGGGTTTTAGCTGCTCTCAGAGATGTCCACAGTAACAAGCTATCGCCTGCCCCCTACTGTGCAGCCAGTCCTGTTACAGTGGACCCTCCCTCTCCGAGCTGTAGTGTTCGTTGTTCTGCTTGACAAAACGGAGAGACCCCAGACCCAGTCCGCGGCCCCAGCGTGGGACTGGTTCTTGGTCCAAGGAGTCTGCTGGGCTTTGTTTTTTTCCTTTTTATTGCCTTGTTTAGTGTGGATGGCTCTTAGCGGAGTTTGAGCTTGAAGGCGGAGATCTCCATGGGATCGAGACTGATGAGGGAGTCGTTGGCCAGAGGCGTGCCGGAGTGCATCAGGGTCAGGGACATGGGCTGGAGCAGCTGCAGGTCCAAGTTCTTGAACAGTCCTGATACACTCAGCTGCACAGGGAGAGAGAAGGGAAGCCAAGAGCATTTGAGAATTAAAGCCATAAAACTGTTCAAAAATACAGTGAATATTAAAGTTTTGGCAACAAAACGTCCTTAAAGTATCAACACGTTATCCTAAAACTGCCCATGAGTGTTACATTATTAAATCACTATTAAGCTATTACATCTATCATTATTGGGGCATTAACATTAAAGCTGCTCTTTAAAGTTGAGCTAACTTATACAGTTTGAGTCAGTACATCATATTTCATAAACTCATGGAATGTTTAGTTAGAAAAGTACATTTCCTTACATTTGTGTACAATCAAACGAATTGCTTGTCTAATGTGTGTGTGTGTGTGTGTGTGTACACTGACCTGTCCTTGAGTGGTTGTGCAGTTGAAGCCTAGATTCTGAGCCTCAAGGCCACAGTCCAGCGCAAGGCGGTGAAGAATCAAGGCCGTGTATGAAGACGGAGAGTGGGGGTCCTGCTGCTCACACACACAAGTTATGAAGTCATGATCATGTTGTTATAGTTGTTCCATCACTTTTTAAAATGTGTATGTACAGGTTCGTCTGCACCTCACCTGGCTCTGGATGCTGCGCAGGTTCAACAGGTGGAAGTCGCAGGGCAGGAGGGACCTGAGCGGGGCGAAGGTCTGCAGAGGAGGGATGCCGCGTCTTTTGGGCAAGACGGGCAGCGCCAGGACCTCGTGGTTCAGGATGGCGTTGGTTATGTGACTGAGTATAGACGGGAAGCTGGTCGTTGCACTGTCTATCATCTAAAGAGGGAAAGTCACAGATTAAACCGACAGTGGTTAAGACGTCAATGACTCTAGAACTCTACAGCTTGTTCATCATGAGGAATAGGAGGCGTGTTCCTAATTCTAGTCCACACACAGCAGCACTAATCAATCTATATGGGTTTGTTACAACTCGTGCACTTTGGTGTCATATTTTAAATTAAGAGTATTGCCAACAGGATGTTTGATGTTTGTGGCGACTCACAGCAACTTCATCCCATCAGCAGTTTTATCAGAGCTGCATTATAAAACCGCAGCCAGTGCCTTCTGTTCTTTGCCGATGTGTGTTCATTTACTTGATAAATTCTATCATTTGTTTCTGTCAATGGTACTTGTCGTAAAAGACGGAGCGTTTTTTCTACGGCTACGAGGAGGATGGAAGTAAAAGATAGGAGCTGGCGCTATGGTGCACACTACGAAACAGGCTACCAAGCATCCCCACTGTTGCCAGGGCAATATTACCTCTTGAAATCCATCAGTCAACAATTTGGAGAGGAAAGAACTAAACAAGGATGTGAGTCTGGCAAAGAAGCCGTCATACTGGAGGTAATGAAGTGGAAAAAGAGTAAAAACAAAATTAGAGAGTGGAGAGGATAAGACAGATGGGGAGGTAATGAGTACTGGAAAGAAAAGATACAAAAAAAGGAGTTAATAAACAAAGAATGAAGGACAATAAACAAAGAATGAAGGACAAAACTCTGTTACTTTCAACAACCTTGATAAAAGAGAATCATTCAGGATCACAGAGTCGGACGTGATGCGCTGAAATTTAAAAAACTCTTGCCCAGCTTCAACAACGGCCTCTGCTGTTGATCTTACTGACCTTGTTGCCCAAGGATCTCCTCTCCAGCAGCAATCGGAAGTGGTTAACCGTCTTCTTGTTGTCCTTCAGGCCCTGGCCAAGTCCACGATTATCATCCTGCATTAAACGCCGGTCCATTATCACTTCCAGCTGGCCTGAGGGAGGAGGAGGGGCAACAGCTTTTACACAAAAGCAGTAAGGAATAAGTATTGAAGTTGACGCCCCCATCATTCACACACAATGATAAAAGGGTTTAGTTCAGTACACAAACTTGTGGATGTGAATTGCTTTGCTTTCTGAAAACCTCTCGAGGGAGAGATAATTGCTTCAATACTATTCCATAAAAAGGCGGAAGGCCGTAAAGAAAACCAAAGTGCATTTCAGACTGTCTTAAATTAAATCAAGAGAAATGACATGACATCAAATATAATGCAACAAGATACGCACCGCTCTCCAAGCTGGTGACACCCAGGGACTGAGCCGTGTGCAGTGTGAGGCGGTGGTGGCTGTCCTGGATGTACGCCTGGCTGGGCATGGGATAAAAGTTGGCCTGCAGGGGAAGCTTCAGATAGTGGCGACGAGGTTGCATCTACAAGTGGTGATGAAACGCAAATCAAGGATACATAGTTATATTGTGACAGAATAGAAAGTTAAACTTCTCTACTGAGCAGAGTGGGACCGACCTGGAAGCCGTTGAGGTCTGTGTAGAAGACATCTCCACTCTGGATGTCGGTAACCAGGCGCATGGCAAGCTCCTTATTGGTCTGATCTCTGATGTCCACTGAGGTGGTGATGTCTACAGACAAACCATCCACCCCTGAAAACATAGATACAAACTATTCAGAACACGAAGGGCACTCAGAGAGTACATGCCTCTGCCAAGGTTAATGAGCGGGCTTGCCATGTCAAAGCAATGTTTCTAATCAATTCTCTGGCTTCACGTGGAGTTAAACTATGGGGAACTTTGTCCTGCAATATTTGCAATTTATCTGTGACTGTGTCCTCAGTCTGTGTATCCGTCACTTGGAATTTGTTGTTGGCGTTCATGCGCGTGCACCCCCCCTGCTACCACCAAAGATTGATTGAATTCTGTGGGAAATGCTGAAGAGAAAGTTAAACAAAATTCCTCAATCAGCCCATTTATTAGGATCCACCACGGAACTGAATGGGTTCCTTCCTGACCCATAATGCATCCTACCCCTTAGTTTCATGGTAATCCTTAATGTAGAAATCCTGCTATCTAAGAGACAGACAAACACGAACGGAAGCTTAACCTCTTGGAGGTAAATAAACTTCAGCCATAGAGTAAATGCAAAGATGAAATGTGCAAATGTGGAACTAATCTACTTAGCCTGCTCAAAGAAAAAGAGAAAGGCAGCCACACTGTCAGATGACAGGGAAAAAAGTCCCTAATTGAATAATAAATGGTCATTTAGTTAAACATATTGTTGAATTGTACCATCTGGTGCCTTTAACTAAACATTAAAAAGCTTCAGGAAAAAAAGCCATTTGATGTGATTCCAAACTGCAGTATTGTGCGTTTATTACCTGGCACATTGTTGATGCGAACGGTCTGCTGGAAATGCTGGTAGTGTGCCACTACCTCCGAGAAGAGAGGCCCCTCCACAACACGCACCACGGGTGATTCTTTCTGGTGGTAGGGCTGAAAGCAGGACGAGAGAAAGAGGAATCGCAAGCTGAATGAGTAATAACATTTGAGTTGAGGAACGATGAAGTAGAAAAAGGCCCCCCAGCAGAATGAGTAATAACATACGAACAGAACAACAAATCCCCAACACTCCTGCATATTGTGTTGTCTTAAACATCAAGGAGATGAAGCAGCACTCCCTCTCTGCCCTGAGCTCCCCCAGCATGATAGAATGACATTTCTCACAAGTCTTTGATAAGAGTCTCCCTTGTGGATTGTATGTAAACATCTGAAAGAATACCTTGGCTTTTCCATCAGGTAGAAAGAGGTAAGCTCCGCTTTTGTCTTTGGAGGGGCGAGTGCCATAAACCATGAACTGCATCTGAACCTTCACTTCCTGGTGATCATCCTTATGCTTGATGCTCTGCAGATGAAAAAGCCACAGAGGAAGAGAGAGCGCAGAGTAAAGAAAAGACAGAATTAGAAAAGATGTCATGTTCACTCTGATCAAACAAACTAAGGCTTTTTTTTTTCCTCCTACAAAAGCCAAAATGGAAGTTAACACAGAAGAGCAAATCCTCAACTCAGATTTAAGGTCAAGAGAAAACAGGAGACACAAACCTCCAGCAGACCAGTGGTTCCAGAGAAGCTAAGTGTGAGAGACTGACTGCTGATGTAGAAGGTTTGAGGGTCAGCCTGCTGAGAGCGAACAGGAAGCGGTTCCGCGGCCCGGGCACTGGTGCCCCGTCCAGACAGCCTGAGCAGCGTGTCAGAGCGGAGCGTCATGGGCGATTCCGGAGAGTCATAAAGATGGAACACGGCCAGACCCAGTGGCGGCAGACGAACCATGAATGTTGCCTAGACAAATTGGATGGAAGAATGGCAGGATGTGGTTAAAAATCACAGCGGTGGAAATTTCAAGAGTTTTATAGTTCTGGCCTCAGTCTCCTTGTTAATCAGATCAGGGAGTGTTGACCACAAGGCATTCATTAAAAGTTTAAAGCAATTAAACATTAGCGACAGTGTGTTGTAATTAAAATATGATGAGAGAGGAGACTGTATTCTGTCTCTCTCATTCAAATTCATCAGTTTTAGTGCAGAGCTGGAAGTCCTGCCAGTTATTTTATTACCACATTTCCTCGAATAGTGATCAGGTTCTTTATTTACCTCACGGTGCAGGAGTTAAAAGTTCTCTTAGGCAGGATAGTTTTAGAAAGAGACCTCAACTTCCAATTCCTCATGGTAAAGTTTGTTTATATTTCATTGGAAACCCTGTTAATCGACTCTGACGTATAGATCACTGCTTTTCCCCTTTGAGAGCTAGAATTGACCATTATATATTTGGTGAGTAGGTACAGCTTATACAGTCAGAGTAATGTTGAAGTGTAGATCAGTTAAAAAGAGATGACAACAAAAAACAGTGTTTATCTCCAGTATTCAGCAAAGAAGCCTCAAAATATTAAGAATTTCAAACAGGTTGGTGTATTAACTATGCAATCATCGCTGCCACATGAAGCCCAACAGAACTGATCACTACGTGTGGCTGCAGGGGGCGCTGTTGCTCAGTAAACAGTACATAAGGATAAAGACTTTGTACACATGTTTTTATGCCAAAATGTTTTAGAATTTAGATTCAATGTGACCATGCAATAAGAAATACTATTGTATTAACATTGCAACTGTTTAAAAGGAGAGTGTCTAGGAGTTTTCTGTATAAAGACTTTTTGTATTTTTTGTATTTGCGTATGACCATTGTCGAAATGCTTTGGAGTGAACCAGCCGTACTGTAGCTGAAGAGTTAACAGTGTGGACACTGACTGTTCTGCAGAAACCAGCAGTGCCTAATAAATTTCAGGTCTTACCTCAAATACCTCTGCACTCATTTGACTGGCAGAGCTCCACTGAGCACTCAGCTGCACAGGGAGTGTCTGTCCATCCTCCGTGAGCACCCGCACCCTGACTGTGTTGACCAACACCGTCACCACACACAGCCGCTCATGCTCGATGGGGTTGAACAAAACCACGTACCTGCCAGATGAAAGGGAAAAATAAATCATGAGCACAGGATGGTGGAGGAGAGAAAGATGAGGAGACGAGATTAGAGATGCAGATAATACCTCGGTCCTGCTGGGTCCAGCTCGATTAAAGTGCGCTGAGGAAGAGAGTCTTGAGTAGCACGCCGATCATCCTACAGAACAAAAATATAACTCAGGGAAGGAGCTTTCAATAAAGGGACAAAAGGGCAGTTTTTTAACATTGAATTATACCGTGGCAGACGAGTCACACCATGTTTCCTCTTACCGTCTCCAGGAAGGGCTCCGTCTGGTAAAAGCGATAAAACTCTTTGTTTTTCATCACCAGGAAATGAGCAGCATTAACGATTACCCTCTTCAGACCAATGAGCGAACGCAGTAATCTAGGGAGGAGAAAGAGGAATCAATGGCTTACTGCAGCCGTCAGAGCAGATGGCTTTTCAATACTTTTCCTTCAAGGTATTGAGCAGGAAACTTTTAAATGGCCACAGAGGCAGATGATTAAAACGTTGCTGCACAGTGTTTCATATAAATTTAAATCTAAAACTATTCAAAGCCTCCAATCCATACTGCAATTTAGCTTTAAAACCCAGATCCTTACTTGGTACCGTAGTCAATGACAACATTCTCCTTCGCGGTGCCAGTGATGGCGTCGTGATGCTGGAAGAGAGCAACAGACTGCCTCGCGTCGACAAGTAGGGCATAATCTGAAACTGGGTAGCGTCCTTCCATGCCCACATGTCGAGCATTCGCAACTGCCAGACTGTAAAGGATCTCGGCCCCCCTGAAGGACAATGACAAACAGTTATAGCCATGATAGTCAAAAGACAAGTATTTATTATTTGAACAAAAATGCATGAAAGACAATTTTTCCAACTTAAACAAGAAATTTAAATATGCTTTAAAATGTATTATTTGCTAAATTGATCAAAACCTAATTGTAGGATTCATGGAACATACTCATGTGAATTGAAAGGAAAATTTTATTCAAATATATTTGAAGTTTTTGCTTAATTTTGAGAGAAACAAGAGAAAAATGTGAGATGAAAATTAAATATCCAATCAATAATTTTATGATAATGCAGTATTTTCATAAACCCAATTTAAAAGTTTGACATAACATGGCGATGGAGTTTTTCTGATGTCTATGGAAATAAATTACAGCGTAAACACCAATGTAAATCGCCTCAGTGAACAATATTGACCCAGATAATTCATTTTTATGTGTTTTGTTCATTGGATTCTATTTTGTAATTATCATTATTAACCCACATAAATGGCAACAGTATAAGAGCATTCCAAATAATTTGTCTCAATCATTAGCAATGTGCCATTAATCTGCCCAACCTGAGGTGCGACTCAATCACTCGGTCCAGGCTCTTGTAAAAGGGACGAGAGGTGAAGTAGCCAGTCCAGTAATGATCTTCACGGTCTGCATAGGCAAAGAAATCTCCACTTAGCACCGGGAAGTCTGCAGGTCTGGATCCCTGGGCCACTCCATGTGCTTTGTATACAGCATTAAAATAGTCTGAGAGGGTCCCAAACTGAGCCTGGTGACAGATGACATGTTGGGGAAAAAAGGCAAAAAAAACAGAGGCTTTACTGAAACACAGCTGAACAAAAGAAAATAACAGCTCTCATTATTATTCATGCACCTTTCGTCCTGCATCTCATCTTCTGAACGGAACACTGAGTCGTGACAGATTCTTTGTTCTGTCAGCAACTTAAAATACCACTGCATGATTCATTATCACAAGAAAGCTTGTTCACCTAGATACTCGGAGCACCACATGCTGAGATGCATGAGAATAAACAGAAACAATATGCATATATATTTGGAAACGCAATTTGTGACAGTTGACAAATTATCCTCTTACCTGTACGTGCAGCTCTGGGTGAGAATTCATGTAGTCAAACAGCTTCTGGTAGTTGATGAACTGCTGATCCCACTCCAAGGCCTTGTCGTAGCGGAAGTCATCTCCCAGTGGGACCAGGAGTACCTTGCTGCGGTACAGTTTGGACTTTTTACGGTACTGATCCAGGAGCAGATTAGCCCTGAATGAGAAAGAGAGGGTTTATAAGAAAGGAAGAATTTTCTTATCTCCTGGCATCCAAAGTGCCCTGTTTGTTTGTCAAGGCCAGTTTTCTAGGAAATACATCTGACACTGGAAGGAGGAGCATCAAATTAGCCCTGGGGTGTTTTTGCATCAGCCACTGAAATATGTACTGGGGAAAGTTTTTTTTTTTTAGCTCAATGTGACTGTGAGAGTATCTGCAGTGTCTGTGTCTCTCTCCCTCAGTTCATTCGCCCTCTCTGGCTGTTGTCCCTGGCATGAGTTCAAGTTTAGTTTATTTGTCGGGGAGCAGTTCAGAAAACACAGAGCTGCAACAGCGGCGACCAAACTGCTGTGAGCAGCTGGAGACAAATTTCACATAAACATGTAACAAACAAACGACTAATTGAGATGAATGTGTCTCTTAGTTGAAAAATAAACTGGTCTCTTGTGGAGAACTATGAAATAGAGACACTGTTTCTAAATAATCCCAAACATGTTTTATGCTTTTGCATTTCTTGATATTTAATCTGACAACTTGAACACTTGGGCTGTAGCTGACAATCATATTTATTAATGATCATTTTCTCAATTAACCGATTCATTATTTGATCTATGACACTTCAGTTTGTGTTCCATACCATGTGATCAGGATCTTGAGTTACATAAATAATGAACAAAAGATTTCCTTCAATTATTTTTTGGGATCACACATGACAAAGAACAGCTGCAGTTCCTGACCTTTGAGAATATGGAACATGAGACTATTTGTCATTTTGTAGTGTGCCTTAAATATGAAATCAGTCAAAACTTGTTACTTATTAAATTTCTGTCAAATCAAATAATTGATTGACCGACTAACTGTTTTAGTTCTAATTAACACCAATACCAGTTTTTCTTTCTTCAAAAGCAAATAACAGCTCATCAGTCCTGATATCTTGATCTGGCTCTACATCCTAAAATTTGTCTGGATATGATGACTTCAACCCAACATGACTACCCCCCTTAATTCCTCACCTCTCTGCTAGGTTGGCCTCCACCACAGTTTTTGGTGGCACTTTCCAGGGGCAGTTTATCCGACCACCCGGTAACCTCTTGAAATCAAACTGGCAGCAGATCTTCGGATCAGGTCCACAGGTGTGAGGCACGTCGTAGCTGTAGAACGGCATCATATGGCAAAACATATCTGTGCCCGATCCAGTGTCTGTCAAAGCAGTAAAGTAAAAACAAACAGGACTGAGACATTTATTATTGAAATGTACAGATAAAGCATGTTCTGTGAAGGGGTGCTATTTATGATCATAGACATGCTGGTAATTTAATATAAGCTTGCGCAATGTGCTGAATAAAGCAGCTGAAGGCAAAGGACAATTAATTCTTTAAAAGAAGTGGCTATTTCATATTATATACTGTATAAGGGATTTTTTCAATTAAGAAAAAAATGGGCAGTAAATCTTCAGCAGGCATCCCATTCATTAAGAAATGTTAATGAAGATAGCCTCTCTAGAGCTATTACAAACTGGTTGTCCTTCCAAAACTTCTCCGTCTTTCAAGGGCCATAACAAGTGGCATGACTCATTCTCCTATGAGCCTAACAAAGATGGGTGCATGAATCAGATGACATTGCTGGCTCCGCTCCACTCACCCCAGGCCTGCCTCCACATAAACTCCAGGCTGCGGGTGGAGGCAAAGTGTTTTTTGATGGAGTAGTGGACTCGCTGAATGAGCATGCTGGTCAGGTTTGCCTTCTTCAGCAGATAGGGCATAGTAGCACTGTGACCAAAGGGGTCTACTGCCCACCCACTGCGAGGGGTTATACCTGTGAGGAGGAGAGAGAGGATGTATAATCAGATAAAAAGGAAGGAATGAATCTTTCAAATTAAGAAATTCAAGGACAAACGGAAGATTATTCTTCTTTCACTGTCACTCTCCTGTGTGTGAATGACAAAGGATAAATTCTGATGGATCATGTACCCAGATTTCTCTCAAGCCACTGATGTCCTTCGATGAGCTGGTCTATCATGGCAAAGTAGTGAACGTTGGCTTCATCCGTCATCACCCAGCCTCCTGTCACAATCTCAAGCTGCCCTCCCAGGATCAGCCTGTGGAAGAGAGAGGATAAAGAAAGCAAGGTGAGGATAATCCAGCTCTAAAGAGAAAGAGTCACATTAACCAGATAAGCTATTTTTAGAGTTTCCACAGTGTGCCAGTAGATACTGGGCATTGTGTAAAAACACTGTACTTAACGACCATCAAGGAAATCTCAATTAATTCTCAGTGGGGAAATATAAGATAAAATGGTTTTGCTTCAATAAGCTGTTACTCACTTGCGCACAGCCTCTTGTTTTTGAATGTCTGCAGTCTCCCACCACTTTGAGAAGAACGAAATCTCAGACCAGATGAACTTCCTGCGAGGATCTTCAGCCAACTTCACCACCATGTTGTTTAAAATGTGCTGCGTCTGGTCTGTAAAGTACTTGTCAAAAGTCTTGATCCAACCTTAGAGGACAAGAAGATAGATATGTGAAAATAATCTGCACAACAGTTGACAAACAGACTATCTGCCAGTGTGACAGACTAACAACCCCCAACTCCCACTCACAGGCTGATACAAGAAGACAGGACAGGTACACTGTGCAGAAAGTGCTGCAACAGATCAAAAATAAAACTCATATTTAATTCAAATAGAGCTGTTCTCCTCAGAAAACTACTTAGCAGAGTGCTACCGAAGAACATGACTAAAAAGCTCTTTCAGTGCAGTTTTAGAGTGCAACTGTGTAGAATATCACAGATTATAAATATCCTGTGAAAGGCTAATATGTTTTATAGAGATCAAGCTTCCACATCGTCTCTAATCACGCAAAATCATAATCCGTGTCTTTTACAAGGTGGGGGTAAAAAAAATCAAGAGCTCGTAGTCACTTGTGAAGGATGGGTCTATTTACTGCAGCATTTTTAACATTCTGGTTGCAAAACCTTAACATCGTCTATAAACACTGGACCCTGCTTCACCAAAAATACGTAAAGAAAAACATTGCAGCATTGTTTGAATCTAATTTAGCTTCAAGTGAATTCTGTTCTTTCCGTTGTTGGGCAAACTTTGCAGGTCTCTACAGCCTGTCAACATATCAATAACTGTCAACTTACCAAGCAGGATGGTAAAAAAATGTAATGGAAATGTCAGTCTAAGATCAAATCTGAGCCAACACCATCTATAAATAGCCACAATTCTCCAATGCCAATATCTTTGTAATTCCATAGTTTGTGGAAGAGCCTTCAATCATGTCAGAAGTATGCTAATAATATGAGTACAAATGATTTTGAATGATTTCTACACCCCTGTCACTCCAACACAGGTAAGGCTTCACAGATGCTGTTTTGTCTCATCTCTGTACCAAGGCCCTATTTTAACTCTCTAGTTCACGCTTAAGGCTGTGTCTCCACAAACCATTTGATCAGACAGACTTTCAAACAACCACATGAGGCATTTTCAACATTAAGTTTCACAGTGCGTTTGGTGTGTAACACTTTTGCAACTTACCTGGATCGTTGTGGGAGTGAGGAACGACAAAGACTTGAAGCGGTTCATTGTCCCACTCATCAGGCTCATAAGTTATGTCAAAACCCTGCTTCCATACACCACCGTCTGGGTTATCAAACTTCACGAGTGAGTAAACATCCAGCATCTATGATGAAACCCCAAATCATAATTTGCTCACTAATAAGAGCCCAAAAACAAGCACGAATAACAGACCAACAAAACATGTTGTTTCATGCATTTTTTTTACAATGATTGAAATTGGAAAGAGCACACAGAGACAGAGAACATAGAAAACAGATGATGTGCAGAATTTAATACATGTATAACTAAACAAACATGGATGAAATGTGATAATGATAGTGACATCATAGTTACTACAAATTCAAGTTGTGTTCTCGGAGGTATGAAGGTTCATGTGCAGGATTGTATATGTGAGAGAGAAAAAGGAAAGAAATGTATGATAGTAAATAAATATATAAATGCTTTCTCATAATTGATATTTACAAATGCCACTTTTCTTTATATGGGTGAAGCTGTCGATTCAGAAAATGAAGGGGTGGCTTGCCCGGGGGGCTGGTGTCATCGTTGGTGGGGGGAATGTTATCAGGGTGACAATGTGTACTTGTTTGTGTCACACGAATAGAAAAGTGTTATACATAAACTGGATCCTGCAAGTGTGGAGCAAATCCATTAATCTGCAGAGATGTATTCAAATAGCAGAAGGTGCCAATGCACTGTTGAAATAAGATTTCTGTCTTAAGGTAGTTATGGTGAGCAGAATGGGTTGTTCTTATGTCAGTAGCCTGCTGATGATTCAGTGATGCATGTATATGTGATGATTGTCAACACTGTTTAATGTGCATTGTGTTTGGATGCAATGCACACATCATGTTGGTCCCATATTGGGTAGATTATATTGGTTGAAATTAACTGTGTGTAGAATTTCGTATTGAGAAGCTGCAGATGTTCATCCAGCAACATATGCATTTTAGCCATTTCATCTGAGGGAAAAACTAGTAGAGCACCTGAACATCGGCTTGACCACTGCTGCCTCCAGCTATCTGACAATCCTGGGGTTTGACAGCGAGGAAAGTGGGGCGACCATCAAATGGCAGTACCCAGGAACCATTGGCACTTCTGAATGGCAGGTGGCCGCTGGGAGACACAGCTCCTGTGTCTGTGAGCTCCATTACAGAGTCTTTTATGTGGCTGATGATTTGGTGGTTTTCCTCCAGGAGCTGCTCCAGCTGCTCTATCCGGTTCTGCAGAACTGAGATTTGGCTCTAAAACACAGAGAAAATAATAAATCACGCAGCTGTGTAACATAATAAAACATCTGCTGATAAAACCCTACGTATGTCTCTGTTATATTGAACAGACCTAAGTTTAAAGACTTGAAATTAGATCGTCTGTAATGAAAAATTCTTTGAAGATAACACATGGCAACAGCTCTACAGTAACAATAAGTGCACGACTGGACATGACTATTTTTTAAAAAAAAATTTTAATTGTTCTGTTTTTTTCTGAGTTGATGCAGATCATGGTGTATTACAACAAAACATGCTAAAAAAAAAGAGCTACAAACTTTAGCTGCAGAAAAAAGTTTTATCACAATCTATGAACCTCCACAACAGCCATTATTCTTACCCGTGGAAAGTTCCCTGCGTTCTGTCGCCTTGCAGGGTCATGTTGGACTCGATCCAACATCAGATACAGAGAGAATACAGCCACACAGAATATGGCCCCTCCACACACTGTCACCTGTTTCCTCAGTTTCATCCTCCTCTGGAGCTGTCTTGTTTCCGGGATTTAAATTTGAAAAAATAACCTTGACTGGGGTGTTTTGTTCCAGCACAGAGGGGAAACAAAAAGCCCTTGAAATTGTGTTCCAGTTATCTGTCACAGTGCAAAAAATATGATGAAAAGTAATCAGCTACAACGGTATTAATGGTTCAGTTCCACTCCTGCGATGCCTCCAGACACCACTAACCATACTGGAGACCACAGCGAAGGGGGCTAAAGCATTGGGAGCAGTGGACAAGGATACTAAATCAGCAATAGCTGGCAAAAAAATGTGTCAGCTTTGGCCAAACCACAGCCACCGGTGGGTTCCTTCAAAGTAGCCCTTGTGCTCAACCATCCAAACCGATGAGATTGCAGGAAAAAAAAAAAAAAACAAGTACCACACAGAGGGGGCTTAAACAGGGAGCTTAGTGTCCCTGCAGCATGATGTGCGTCTCTGTGGGCCTGCTCTCCTGGTCCAGTCCCCACTCCCACAGCAGACTAATCCTCCAGTACAGCCAGAGTCCCCCTTGGCTCAGTTGGCCTCCAGTGCCATAACAGTTTGCCCACTATGCTGGGACAGTGCAAAGAAACAGGCAGAGAAAAAAAAGACCCAACTTGACTCAGAGCAGCAGCTTTTTGTTATCAAGGTTCAACTCTGCCCCCGAAGCAGCTCCAGGAATTAAAATGAGACAAATGTCATTCTTCTCTCAGTAGCATAGAAATTGCACATCTACAATGGCAGCATGAGCCGTGCGTCTGTCCTCGATCAAGAGCGCCAAGTTGAAATCACATGGGATGGTCTTCTTCAGCTGTTAGAAGAGAAAATGTTGATTAATGGAGTATGCAGAGCAAATGTAGTCTGCCTTTCAATAGCAGGCCTGACAGGAAGCACAAGCAAATGGGAGCTATGGAGAAGAGCAAGAGATCTCTGTTCTGATCTGGCCAGTACAGTCAACACAAGAGGAGGGATCAAGCTGAGCAGAGTGGCCAGCGTTTTCCTCACAGCACCAACAAGTTGTTCCTGTTTCCCCTCTGTGTGCAAATCCAACCCAGTGTTTAATCGGCTCACTTGTCAGGCTGGGACGATCCTCAGCATTACCACAGGGAGTTAGGGATAATAACCTGGCACTTGCCTTTGCTTTGTCCGCCTGAAAAGGAGCCTCAATGTCAACAGGAGGACGATTCTTTCTCAGACCACCTGGCCCTGGTTAGAGGAATTAGAGGCTTTGTAAACTGAGGTGCATGACAAGAGATCACCTCCACAGCCACAAATTCACGTGACAGAATTACACCCAACAGATATCAAGTTTCTCACATCAGGCTCGTTAGCATCAATAGAAACAATCCTTAAATACTCGTGACCCCTTCTGTAAACAATCAACTTGTGACCAGTCCCCCTGGGGTGATTGACTGACAGGTGAGTGTACGAGTTAAACGTGACTTGGGGTCAGCTACTGCTGGGCAGCTAGCCAGACGAACACTGCGCTGCTGCAAACTTAAGAGCACTAAAATACCCGCAATTAGACTTTATCCCAAGTCAGCTCACACACACGACAGCTGGTTTAGACATCCAGCTAATGATCCCATTAACCACGTTAAAACTTTACCCTAATCCCAGTTACTTTAACGTTCGCCAGATATCACGGATATGCTGCTAAAACAAGCTAGCGCTAGCAACCAGATGTGGCACCGAGTAACCGCATCGACTCGACTGGTTTACGAGCTACATTCAAGAGAGTGATGCTAGTGAGTGAAGGTTGACAACAGGAGAGTGATTTACCGATGAGTGCGTGTGTCACCGCTGTGTGTCCGTGTCGGTGTCTGTGACCAACGCTACGGACGATAGCAAGAACTGGCTTGACAACATTAAGACGTGGCTGATATCTCTGGGTAACCGCTGACTTTGCTGCTAAACCTCCGTTAACACTCCAGCTCCGTCTCGGTAAAATGTCCCCGTGTGAAGGAAAAGAGGAAAAACAGGACGTTACCCATCAGAGGAGAGAAGTCCGGAAGAGAGCAGTGCCCAGCGGTGTGTCGGTGTGTCGGTGTGTGTGAGTGTGAGTGTGTGTGAGTGTGTGTCTGTAGCTCCGGGCTGACAGATCAACTGAACTAGCTGCTAGCACCACCGTTGTGAGCAGCATTCCGCAAAGCATCATGGGAGGCGAGGAGCTGCGCATCGGTCTGTGATTGGTCGGCGGCCGCAGAGCTTTTTAAAATAAATGCTCCAACCTGTCATTTCTCTCTCTGCGATGAAACACAGTTTATGATGTGGATGTCAATAACCAAGTTATTATCTTATTCACTCCGTCAATCATTTGTGAGCGTCATCTCGTTTATTTTGTATATATTTTTACACACACACAAGATATGTACCAGGAGTGGACGCTGCCTCCTCCACTATCCACTCACCACTATGCCAATGGAGGGGTGAGTGGAGGGTTTGAGTCCACAGAACACTTTTGGAGTTTCAGGGGTAAACAGTGTTGCAGCCAAATCCAATACAATTGAAATAAATGGTTAATGGATTCTTCAGACATATATAAACAACAGAAAAAACACAAAAGGCCTCCATACTGCTCCTGTGGTGTCATCCAAGTGTCCGCAAACCCAGACATTCAAATTCAACTCAAAGCAGCGTCATTTACATCATGTTTTTAGCCTAAATGTCCTCTGATATCCTCCTACGGCGCCAAATTCACATGTGGATCTATGCAGCATTTTGTTTTTTGTTTCAAAGAAGTGGTCACCATATACTTTAATTGTTTTGGATTTGGCTGCAACGCCCCTGAAACTCCAAAAGTGTTTTGTGGACTCAAACACTTCACCCACCCCTCCATCGGCTTAGCGGTGAGTAAATAATGAGTGAATTTTCATTTTTCGGTGAACTATCTCTTTAAAGCCATTTGCAACACTGGCGTTACACCTGACATGACCCAGTTATACCCATAATATTTCATGCTAATTAGTTATTATAAAATTTAGAACAATTCACTCAGTTCAAAGACAGAATCATGACAGGCCAAGGATATATATTGTATATTATTATATACTGATGACTAAATTAAAAGAAAACCAATTAAAAATCTGATGTAGTTTTTATGAATAGCTGGTAAATTGTGTCTGGAAATTAAATTACTATATGTAGGTGTCTGTTGTTTTCCAAAGCTGAGTTACCAGTCAGTGAGCAAAAAGAATTACATAGCTGTGAATCAAATACATTGTTTGTATGAGAAGTGCGACACAAATAAAGTCTGATTAATTGACTGCATCTTGTTTCATCATCTGCTCTGATACACAAGAGTCCAAAAAGCAAAAGTCCAACAAATAGATACCATCAGATATGACATATGTCCTAGTAAGGCCACTTCCCAACCCTTGTTCCTATAAATAAATGAATAATATAAGCCACACAGTACAATTTCATTTAAAATAAAGGGATTTTGTGATTGTAGCTGGCCAGAAAGACTGATATTTGTAATCCAAGTGCTAACAAGTGTAAACTGAAGCGTGTTGATGGATTAGTAACTGATGATAAACCATTTGAAATAAGTGACTTTCTCATTAATGTTGTCTCACTTGTCTGGAGCATGAGCGAAACTGTGGGATCCAGAAAAGAATAAACCAATGAGATCAAGTTTTCTCTCCATGTAACTCATAATAATGCAGAAACGTCTGTGACTGCTGGACCTGCTGCCTCCCCGTCTGAGCCACTTGCCACACCTGAGAAGCCAGGTGTGGCAAGTGTAATGAAGCTTTGCATGTGAGGTCACATTGTTCTTTTGATAGATGGTTATAGGAAACATTTATGTTTATGTTACATGAGCTTAACACGTCAATGATGAATTAGCAGACTGTGTGGGGAATGGCAGGAACAGATGGGTTGTTTTAGTTTTGTTTGGGTCAGAGGAGACTGATGACTTTTGATAGAATCAACAAAATCATTCAAAATTACTTATGTGATGTTAGTGTTATTTCCTAATTTAAAAAAATGTTTTGCTGCAGAAAGGTACACCAGAAATGATAGAATCATATCCTGTCTTACAAAAAAGAGTTCTGATAAGAAACAAATGTTAACACAGCTGCTTTTGTTTTTGATTACAGACTGGGGCTCTTCTCTCTGGGTGCCCGGTGCTGTCACTGAGCCTTGTGGATCTCCTGTGGATCTGTTTGAGGTCTCACAGCAAGCCCAGCCCTCAGGAGACACAGCACATATCAGCCATCCATGCTGGATATTCTTCTCAAAGCACAAAGCTGCTGTGGTAATGTGAGCATTTTGGGTTAACCTGAGCACGAGGCCTGAAGGGAAGCACCTCGTCTCCACAGCAACCAAGGACACAAAACAATGGCATCTGACCGTCCTGGTAAACGAAATTCCCCAGGGGACTTATGTGGGAAATATCAAACCAGGACACTTCCTTTCTTTTGCGTTTATTCTTTATTTGAAATACTCAAGAAGTACTTAAAATATACTTGTGAGGAACGCTTTGCCAAGGTTTAACCCACTGTACACAAAGGTTTTAAACTATGCTTAACATTTAAATATGCTGGGATACATATGAGTATAATGAATTAGCCTTTGTTGCATAGGTATCCTGATTAAAGTGTGTGTGTGTGTGTGTGTGTGTGTGTGTGTGTGTGTGTGT